ATTTTTTCTGCCAAGTCTCAAGATAGTCCAACCAAGTACGATTTCAACTACCTAAATCCCTGACACGAACATCTCTATTCTTCCAGTTAAAATGTTACCAAGGGCATCCGCTCCAAATAGGACTCTTATAGGCAGCACAATTCTACATTCGTCAGTTAGCCTTTCATCTTGAATTCTAGGCAGTGACGTATAAAACTTGGGCTGATGGAGGAATGAAATTGTTAATGAACATTTTCTGTCTAAACTCTCTACATTCACTTTATATTTTCCATGTTTAACAGCTGGTGTTGTTCCACTGCCAAATAAACCTTGTGACATTATTTCTGTTCCTGAAGATTTCTTTTTAACTAATCCAGTTTCAAAATATGAGAGGTGCCCTCCATCATCTAATAAAGATCTTACACAAACCTCTTTATCATTATTAGGAAGTCATAACATAGCAGTCTTGAGGTATACTTCTCTTCTTTATGCTCAAACTCTTTGGAAGAACTTACTGATTTTTCGCTGGGGTTTGGACACATTATAATATGATGTCATTGATTGGCCTTTTTAGAAACATAATAAACAACATTTTGCATGCTTAAATGCACTTTTCCTTTCTTCCAAACTCATTGCAGAAGCCTTTCGACAATCTCGACTATTGTGAGGTTTATGGCAAAACAATCTAATTAAGTGACGATATTAAAGCAGCTGCTGTAGGTTCATCTGCTGCAGAAGGCTTATTTATTTCTAGTTTTCATTTCGGTCTTCCGAAACAATTTTCCACCTTATGAAATAAAAATGCCAATAACAATTTCAACAATTTTTTGTTTGTTTTGTTTATCATATCTTCTGGTCGTGTATATTCGTATGTATAGGTGTCTCCTGAGAGTGCAGTGAGAAGACCAATGATCTTCTGTTCAAACTTCAACCTACAAGGAGCTCTTTTTGACGTACACTAAAACAGTCACGATTCAGCTCTTCAACTTGTCTCTGATCATCCGAGTTGCGCCATTGCTCATGGGCAATTTTGCCTTAGAGCTTGAATATAGATGCCCTAAGGGGTATCAATCTTTTAACTGTTTTTCAATTTAATTTTCGGTAGTCCATGCATAGTCTTAGGCTATGATCTTTCTTTTTGTAAAGAACTATTGGGGAGCAAAAATCAGAACAACTCTCACTAATTAAATCAGTTTTTAACCACTCAGATATCTGATAATTTACTTTTTGTTTTTCGGAAAAAGATAAACGTCTAGCTTTGACATACTGCATACTGGGATGCCATCTTTCTAAATAATTTTCATTGCCAACTTAACATCTTTAATTCTGTTAGGTTTGTAATTATAAATCAACACAGATGTTGAACATTAAAAATCAAAACATGACAGATAAAATCATATTTAAAAAAAAAAAATTACATTTATTTAGAAAGCATGTTTTTTTTTTTTAAATTCAAGTCATAATTCATCATTAATACATCATATTTAAATACAGTTGATAAAAAAAATCTTCACTTCAAAGATAATGGAATTGTTTGTTTGAACGAGTTACAGAAATGCAGATTTTTCCAGTAAAGAAATGATGCAGCACTATTTAAAAAAGCTAGCAATAAATAATTATTTCTTGCTTTTTTTCTTTTAGGCAAGAATACCTAGTGCAAAAAAGATTGCTTTAAACTGAAAATAGGCTACAGCATACACATTTTTATGTTACTACTGGTTATTTAAACTTTCTAAGTTGTTGATCATTGCATCAAGTTTCATAACACCTTACAAAGCTTCATATAACTCTAAACATGTCAAAGCTGACCTGAAATTTTTAAAATAGCTTCTTATGACTATTACTATCTCATGTTTCCAAAATAGACTGATTGTAAGACCACCACCGAAGTTACGCATTACCGGTAGGACAGTGAGCACTTTGATCAAACTGCAAAGGGACTGAGGGTATGCGGTATCAGTGCTCGACTTCGCGTCTACTTCGTTGGGCTATCAAAGCGGGGACCCATCCACTTCTTAAACTATCAAAATTGCAAGATGTCGGATCAACCGTGGGGACATTTCAACGACTATTGCTAATAGCAGATTGTGCGGCTCTAGTGTGACATGGCAAAGTATTACTCAGTACTGTGTCAATTGTTCTGAGTTAATAGTTTCTTCCAAATTGAAATTAATTAAATATAGGTGAGTATATGTAAATATTTTCCCTTGTTCCATCGATCTTAACCCCTTGACATACGAACACGTCTGGGAGACGTCATTTGTTCCGTATGTCAAGACAATAATCGACGTGTCTCAGATGTCTTCAACACAGAGATCACAACTTGCTCCGGACAGCAAGTAAATATTTTAAAGTGGTAGTTTATCANGAAGTCATTCTCTCACACTTACGCGCGTCAAAAAGTTAAACATAGAAATACTGGAAATAGGGCTGTTTTCCTGAGTTTTCAGTACTTTTCAAGGTCATTTCGAATTTTTCAAGGATTTAATATCATTTTCAAGTACTTCTAGGGGCCCTTGAAAATCAAAATGAAATTCAAGTACTTTTCAAGGCTTTTTCAAGGCCGCGGGAACCCTGTTTATAGTAGTTATGTCATGCTATACCTTTTAAAAAGCAAGCAAAAATAGCCTAATATTTTCAAAATTTAGTATGCAGTTATTTACAGTTTTTTAAAAATTATTTTGGCGTGTCTGAAACAGTTGGCATCTGTCAACATTCCGTTGTTAGTTACAGTGCAATCAAAGATCATTTCTATGTCAAGAAATTAATAATTCCACACAGTTTAGAGTTTTAGAATATAGCTGATAAAACAGCTGTAAATTAATAACTAAAAAAAAAATCTTCAACAAAAACTATTGCTACTTACTAGTATTATTTTTCATTACATATATTGCAATTAAAGATTAGTCAAAATAACTCTTAAATGCAATTATTGTACACAAGTTTCCATACATTAATAATTACAACCTATTATAAGTTTAAAGTCTTATTATATTTCTTTATGAGAATGCAATTATGTTATATTCTTCGTTGCTTATCTTAAGAGGAAGCCATACCACTGGAGAAACATTTCATCGCAAATTCTCTTTCACCTTCATTACTAATTTTAAAAAAAGAAAAAGTGAGTTCAGACAAACCTAGAATAAACCATTAAGCTTCAATTGCAAATTTTTTTTCAAACTATCAAAATTCAAACAAATTAACGGAAAAGAACTTCTCAATTACGTAATCCTAAGATATTTTCTTATAACTTATTGTTATTTTGATACAGTAGAGAGCCGATTATCTGAACCCTTATTATCTGAACGATGTCCAAATTCGCTTTTTTTTCTTCTTCTCTTTTTTAAGTTTAGAATTTTTTTAAACTTATAGACAATTTTTCCAAATTTAGAGGAATAGATAATATCCACTACATCTGAAGACCATATTTAATTTACAACCTTTTTCAGCAGTTTTCTTATAGTAGCCATACATACATGTATTGTTATACAGTTAAACCTACATACCCCTTTAGCCCTCTTCAACTGAAAATTATCATCAAAGAATGCGAGCTTCATTTTGACAATCTACAATTGTTGGAAAGCGGAATGTGTTTATGAATAGATAAGTGCTGAAATTCTACAATTGGGGGATGGGTAGTTGTCACTCATGGTTAATGATTAGTGATTACAGTGCTTGGAATCTTAAATCTTGGAATAAAATTCTTATCAGAAAAACAAACGAAACTGCAGTTTGTGAATCGGTAGATCTTTCGNAAAAAAATAAACAGATGATCAATTTCTTTCTTCTCTCTTGAAAATAATTAGTCAAAATAACTCTTAAATGCAATTATTATACACAAGTTTCCATACATTAATAATTACAACCTATTATAAGTTTAAAGTTTTATTATATTTCTTTATGAGAACGCAATTATGTTATATTCTTCGTTGTTTATCTTAAGAGGAAGCCATACCACTGGAGAAACATTTCATCGCAAATTCTCTTTCACCTTCATTACTAATTTAAAAAAAAGAAAAAGTGAGTTCAGACAAACCTAGAGAAAGCCATTAAGCTTCAATTGCTAATTTTTTTTCCAAACTATCAAAATGCAAACAAGTTAATGGAAAAGAACTTCTCAATCACATAATCCAAAGTTATCTTCTTATAATTTATTTTCATTTCAATACTTTAAAAATTTCTTTTCAGCACTTGAAACTTCATGGCTTGCTCTACACTTCACTGAACTTACTTTCTCTGTACTTCAAATTAATTATGGAGATAAAAGAGAATTTGAGACGGAAATTTCTCCCATGGTAGGGTATTTGTGATGTTATAGAGGCTAAATGTTATTTTGCTCATTCTTAAATACTTTTACATACATACTTGCATGTAAAAGTATGTTACATACACACTATTACATACTTGCTTTAACCTATCCTTAGTAAAGTGTCCTATTATATCATTCAATTAACATTATGAATTAATAAAAACGAGAGAAAAAAAATAGTTTCTTATTATCATCACAATGTCACTTGACATTGATCTTTCAAAAGTGAAAGTTTCAAATTCTTTGTGAAATTAATACAAAAGCAATCAAAATTTTTAACACATTAACAATTATTTTTCCCCCTGCTTATTTTTAAAATAGAGACATGCTAAAGATTAAAAAAATAACGCAAATTTGGGAGTATCCTTTAAATGACACTAAAATAATGATAACAGGTAATGCAATAAACAGGCAGTGTAAATAATACACAAAATACATAGACAATTTTCTGAATATAGTTGAGTTTTAGTCTCCAATGGAAGCCCTGATACATTTGAATTTTAGTCCCCAATGGAAAACTTGATTAGACAAAATTTTAAGATTCATTTAAGAAACGAAAGCGAAAATTTTAAATACTATTTATGCTATAAAAATAACTGATTCCTCTATTTATGTAAAATCGAAAATTTAATATGGCAATAAAAACTCAGTTGTCTCTTTTTCATTGAAGAAAGAAAAAAAAATAGAAGGGAAAATAAAAACACAGTTTATGAATGCAAATAAAAATAAATTTACTAATACAATTTATCAAAACTGACAATAAAAACATGTTTACAAAATACTTATTGTTCAGCAATAATTAAAATCGTTTCAGAATATTAAAATACACAAAATAAATAGCACGAATGTCCAGAAAAAAATATGTTTTGCAAAATGATCAGAATTATAAACACAGTAAAATGGAAAAAATTACAAAAAAAAACCAGGGAGCTGGAACTTGACAAGAATGTCTCAATTTAGTTGTTCACCAGCAAACATTTCTCATCTTCGCCAGCAACCTAAACAAAGTAATCAAAAATGCTACACAACAAATTATTCTATTACAATCAGGGTTTGTTAATGTATAGTATTAGATGTTGAAGCATACAAGGTGCCACAAGCATTTAGAAACTGAGTTTTCCTTAATTTTTATAACCATTGGCATAAATTTTGTAAATAATTAGTCAGCTATGCCTTATTCTTATACATAAAATATATTACAAAATACAAATACTTGCAATTAGCATTGAAAATAAATAATTAAAAAAATAAACAGATGATCAATTTCTTTCTTCTCTCTTGAAAATAAAAGTTACCTCAAACTCAAATTAATTCATACTCCCCAATAGAAAATTTTAAAGAAAAAAACAATGAAAATATAAAAATAGCAGCCCAAGCGTCAGGAGTTACCAGCTCGGGAAGTCATAAAAACACAAAACCTTTTCTATTGTGAGAGCAGGACAAATGTCTAAAAATTGCTTGCTCCGAATCCCAAAGGTTTTAAAAAAAGTCCAGGAAAAGAAATACATAGTACAAAAACAAAAGTAAAATGCGTAAACTAATTACAAAAGGAAAACACTGTTGAAAAAACCTACTTAAAAATAGTCCTATTACAAACCAAAGCATAAAACTTTTCGAAATTTTTTAACCAAACTGAAATTTGAAAACAAACTACGACCACATTTAATGCGCAGAAGAGAAATCAACTGCCACCTGTTAGTAGAAAAATATAGAATCTGTTATTTTCTTTCTGCGCATTAAATGTGGGCGTAGTTTGTTTTCAAATTTCAGTTGGTTACAATTTTCTAATGGAATTGCTGCCGCAATGCACAACTTTCCTTTGGAATTGTAGTATTTAACTGCTTTACACATGATTTTTGCTATCTCTTTTAATTTCATATTCTCCAATAATTTATGCATTTAAGTTAAATTCCCTGATTGTTAAAATTCCTTGCTTTGTGTGATCCACGGTGTATAATACTATAATGATAATTCTGTACATAAACATTATTTAAAAAAAATTAGTATGCAGATGAGTAGTTTAAAGGAAGTCTAAAATATCGCTGCATAATCTTAATATTTATATTGTGAATTGCAACTACCCAACAGCACATCCTACAAACTGTGTTGGACTATGTTTGGCACAAAATAACTGAGTAGCGTGTTATAATTGCGACATAACACATTTGTATTGTAATTCCTTTAAAATCATTATATTAACTTAGTAATTTATATTATATTAACAAACACACGTAAACAAACCAGTGAAAATTTGTAAAGACTAGTAATATCTATTAGTTACTGGTCTTTTGGACCACGGACTGAATTTTTTTTAAATAGGATAATGTGTTTTTCTTAAAGTCATATCACAAATTTTATTGTAGACTTAGATTTTCGAGGAACGTTTTCTCGATTTGAAACAGCGATTAATCAGTCAACAATGTTTTCAAATTCCATTGCAATAAAAGTAATCAATTTTGAATTGTGATTTCGTAATGAAGTTATGATATAACAGCCGATCTATAAGATAGTTTCAAATAATTAAACCTAAATTGCAATACATCTTAAAATGCAGTTTAGTGTTGAACTACTTTGAAGAATTATCATTGCTTTGATTAATTAATAAGAATTACATTATGTGCTATGAAAAAAAAGTTTTTTAATAACCAATATTGACTATATATATAACTACCACTTTTAATACCTAAAGAAATTAAAGTAAAAAGATTTACTTTTTGAACTTTCAAAACTGCTATGAGTTACTGAAGTTTTACTATTGTCTAGATACACTTCTCTGAGTATGGTGAAATAATTTAACAAATAAACAAGAATAATTTGAAAACAAATCAATAAAGGTCAAAAATAGTTTAGAATTTACAATCTTCAGAATAAATTTTTTTCTTTGTATAAATATTACTTACCTTAATGTGAAATTATTCTTATCTTCTTAATTTTCTAAATAGAATGGAAAAGAAATTATTGATATTTTAGTGAGCAACAAAAAATATTACGTTTAGAAGACAATTTCATCTAAATAAAATAGATATTTAAAAAAGGCAATATTTTTAAAAATTAACTTCTATTGTAAAAGAACACAACCAAATCAAATTTTTAAAAAAAATTGAGGGAAAAGGCAATTTTTCCAAATCTAGTTGGCTTTATGGTTAAATCTATGTTTTAACCATAGAGCATAAAAAAAAAGAGATGACATTCTCCACAAATGCTCATAGACTATTTCATAACCTTATTCACACTTTAACTTGCCAACTTAGTACCCAAAAACCTGATACCATAATGTTATTTCTATGTAAAACAATTTGCTGTAGTTAAACGTTAAATAACCATAAAAATTCAGCAACTTTTCCATTTATTGCACAGTAAAAAAAAAAGTTGAAATTAATAAATATATAAAAAGATCTGAAAGTTTTTTAATTTGGTTCCTGATGCATCTGCCTTTAAATTCCACCAATATTAATGTTTTCCCATTTCCTTTCCAAAACTTATAACAGTCCCAAATAGTTCCCTAAAGTTTAATATTATATTATTTAAACATATTATATATATATGTGTGGGTGCAAAAACTGAGTTTATCTCCAGTGCCTTAACTATGCCTTTGTTTGTATTAGCAACAAAGGTTTTTATCCAAATTTTCCTGACTTTCCAGATTTTTTCCAGCAAAAAAAAAAAATAAATAAATAAATAAATAAAAATAATAAATTCCGGATAATTACAGCATGTTTTTCTTTCTTTTGGTGTCTATTTTCTTAAAAATAAGAAAATTTAGTACAAAAAGGAATGCAGTGAAACCTCATGTTACGGAGACTCCTCCAAAATAAAAATTTTTTTAAAAAAAATTTTATGTGAAACTTCTGTTAATGAACTATTAAGTAACCTCTATACCCGAAACGTCATTTTCAATTTCTTCAAACCAGAAACCATTTTGTCTAAATTTGAAAAAATAAATAATTTAATTCTAAAAAAAATACTGCTTTAAATTCCAAAAAAATATTAATTTCCCTCATCTCGGCAGCATAATAAAATAATAAAAAAAATTATAGAAAAAAAAACCTTTTGAATTGCTCATTTGACTTTTACAAGGTGCTCAATTTGCACAGGTTCCATCAGAAATCTCTATTGCTTTTTCGATGGATATTGAAATGGATTTTACATTGGTTTTAAAAAATTGAATACTGAATACCACTTTTTGACTTGCTTTATTTGGGTCGAATTTATCATTAACTGAAGCAGCTTTTCGATTATCATAATTTTAAACCTCAACCATTTAAACACCATAAAATTATTTTAAACCCTATGAATTCTCTTTAAATAAAGTAATTTGTATTCATATTAAACAATATTTTTTATCCATTTTTATTTTAGTTCAAAATAAATTAATTTTAATGTTCCTAAACTTTTGAGTTATATGATGTAATAAGAAACTGCTACTTTTTCCCTATCTTTATATTTATTTGGTTAGATCCTTTTTTTTTTAAAGTGTCAATTCTGCATTTTTTAGTTCTGAATGCACTCATATTAAAACCTCTTAATTTTATGCAAAATATACCACTAAGATGACTGATACCTTTTTTTAAAGCTGTTGCTGAGCAGCGGATTCAACTTGTGAGTTAAGACCATTAAAGTTCAACTCCGTAGCCTTATAACTTTGAACCCAAAACAGAAGTCTAAGTATTGGGATAAATTTGCCTTTGTGGAGGATTTCTTGATGGAACCAACCCGCATTTGCATTACATGGAGAGAAAATCTACGGAGACTTTCGATGGTTAGCCTGACGGCAGCAAGGGGACTCGGACCCATAATTTGTCTTCAATTGAGGATATTTTTCGTCGGCTCTGTGGTCGGTGTGAGCCGGGGGCAGAATTTGTATCAACGGCTGTATTGCTGAGATTTGAATCCAGGTCACCTCAATGGGAAATGAGTGCTTTATCCCCAAGTCACAATAACTAAGTTGATTGATAAAAAAGATTTAGTGCTTAAAACATTGATGTTTATAAGAAAAATTAATGTACATGCTTTCAAAATGTCTAAATATTTGGTCATGCAGTCCCTTATTACTCCACCTGCTATCAAGTGGTTCTTCTCTTAAAATCCCTGCCTCTCTATTTTTTAAGAATGAAAATTTTCTGATTTATCTGTAACTAAAAATATTAATAAGCTATTTCACTACAAAAGAATCAATCATTCTCTTGTCCTTTATCTTTGCAAAGTTATTGTTATGGTGTATGTCTTTCATTACAGGGCATCATTTTGTAGTGATGTTTAGGACTGATTTTTTATTATAATTTTTTTTATTGCTTTCCCCTCATATGAAGAACAGGTATTTAACTAGTATTTTAATAATTGAATGATGACTTGCTTTTTCGTATATATCTAATGAATGCATCATTTGTCCGAATAGCACATTTTTAAATTCGTGATAAGATTTAACAAATGCATAAGTAGTTGATTTTTTTTTTCTTTTTTACCCGGAAAAATTTTTTAAACAGACAGTTTATTTTTTTACAGCATTCTGCAGCAATTCTTTTTTAATAGGATCAAAAATTTCCTAAGGGTTGCCTGAATTTCTCTTAAATATTGTTTATTCAATTGGACATATTTAGAACCCCTGGAGGCCCCCTAATTCTCTTCAAATTAAGAGAGTATATTCTTAATTTTTAAATTTTACTTTGAGCAACATAAGATTTTATGGAGTAATTACATTACTTAGAAATTTTAAGGAGTATATATGTTTTTTTTAAAATAAAATTTTAAAAAATATATATATTTTACATATGTAAATCTTTGAATAAGTAATAAAACAGATTTTTCTTACATATTTGCAGGAGGTTCTCTATAATTGACGCTAGAAGAACGTTTTCGCATGTATCTTTTTTCTTCATGTGAAGTTTGCTTAATGTTTTCTTCAATGGTCAAAGGTTCTGTATAATTGACGCTAGAAGAACGTTTTCGCACGAATCTTTTTTCTTCATGTGAAGTTTGCTTGGTGTTTTCTTCAATGGTCAAAGAAGGCTCATAATTTTCTGACTTTATTTTGGGAACTTCTTCTTTAACTTGATCTAGGGATGATTACATGGATATTTATATATGGATGTACATAACATATATAAATTTCCTGATTAAAATACATTTTCACAGGTAGAGGACTGCTATAAAGTTTGATTTGAGCTCTATTTCAACATTATATTACATTTAATAATGCTTCCCTATTAGCTATTTTCTTATTTTAGTTCTAGACATTCCTTGAGGGAAAAAAAAAGACAATTTCAGTATGTAAACCACTGTCTAAAACTTAATTGAAGGTCTCAGTTTTTATAACTCATTAAGAATGAATCAGCAATAGCAGACAGCAACATAGAAAAAGAATTTTTATTTAAAAAAAAGTTAAAGAATAGATTGAATCCCTTACATATTCAGTAAGATAAATTATACAACTAAAAGATATCCATGAGCAATTTTAAGTTAGTTTTGCTCATAATGATTCAATTATAATTGAAGGTAGAGGGTGTACTTTTATATTTATTTTAAGTTGCTTTTATTTCCTAGAAAAAATGCTTAAAAAGTCAAGGATAATTAAGATATATATTCAAATTTATTTTTGACTCTGATATAATATTGAAAAGTACAAAAACTTATAAATTTTTAAAAAGATGTTGAACCTTAAATCTTAAATTCTGCTATTCAAGCAACAATACTTTAAGAACATTCTGCAAAATTAAAAAAATGTAGTAACTTAAGCTTTACTGCATATATATATATAGGCATGAAAGAAATTTCAGTTTTAAAAACATGAGTTAGGCTAAAATCTTGCTTGCCACTATTCCAAATTCATAAAATATATGAACAATTTTTAAATTTTAAACAGCTACAGAATGAAAAACATTTTGGAGACTAAAATCATAAAAGAATGAATCATTGTAAAACATATTAATGGCAATAACATTAAAATAAGATTTCAATGTTTCAGGGGACAATTTCATGGGTGAAAAGGGGTTGATTTAGCTTTTTTTGTTTCAAATAGAATTTTTTTTTATACAACACCTTCACACGCTGCTGGATAGCAAAACAAAAATCTAAGTGTATTATATAGTGTAAGTGTTCAACCTTAAAATAAATGTTAAATAATGTTTGCTTATGCAATAAAAAAAGCATTTTTATTGCATAAGTTTGAGCAGAAATTACACGCCCTGATTTTATGCTAATTTGTAATGTTAACAGCGAATTCTACCCTTTATCATAATATTACTAAAATTTTTTTTTTTGTTCTCTGTATCTAATAAATTTCTTTTCTCCTCAACATATTATAGTAGGCTACATAGTCTAACATTACAGGCAATAGTCAAGCATAAAAAAAAAAAAAGTTGCATATTTTTTTTTTTATCTTTTTAATCATCTGAAAAAAAAATCGAGACAAAAATTTTTGGAAAAAAAGACCAATAACGAATTAATGTTATGATCCCAACAAAAACTGACTACTCAAATTATTGATTTAGATTTTGCATTCGTTATAAAATGGTATGGAAAATATGAGGAAATGGGCATAGTAAAAAAATCATGGGAAATTTAATAGCTGTTAAAAATATAATCAAAAGATCACATGGAGATTTAGGATGGAATCATTAGAAATCAATGAGGTGAAAAAAAATAATTGCTCAAATGTGGGATTGGAGTCCTGAGTGTTGTAGTTACATTATCTGAAATGTAAAGATATTTTTTAAAAAATGTGCAAATCAATGGCTTCTGAAGATTAACCCATAGAATAGAAGAGTCAATGCATAAAAAAAAAAAGAATCAAATGTGCAACCCAAATTTTGTATATCATATTAACATAGAGAAAAAAAAAATCGGTATTTGTTTTAAAAAAAAATTTTGTGAAAAATTTTATGGCAATAACTGGCAAATTAAAAAATTATCAAAATAACGGATTGCTTCGTAATAAATAGCAAAAATTTCGAAGAAATTTAGGCGACTTTAAAAAATTTGATGTGGCATGGAAACAAGAATTTGGGCAAAAAAAAAAGAAGAGGAGTTGCTGCTAAGAGAGGAATAATTGTCTTAAGGGGATTCGAAATTTAAATGTCAGATTTGCGGAATTTTGTGTCAGACTTGCAGCAAATACGCCAAAATTCAAATGTTTGATTCAGTGGTTCGTGAATCAATGGTATTGAGATTCCCGGAACAATCACATACCTGATAAAATGACTTGTTATATTGGGTGAATTATTCATAGAATTACCTTGTGAATGATTTGATTCTTCTGGTATCATCTTCAGAGAAGAGCAATGTTTAAGAAGTTGTAGTTCTAATGGGATTTCATTCAACTCATCACAAGCTGGAATTGAAATGCTCTTACAAAATGATTTACCATGTTTAAAAATATCTTTTACCAAGACAATAGGCTCTTTCAATAGCCTACACTCCTGTTTTGATATCTCAGTTGGAAGGGGCTCAGGATTTCTATGAACATCTGCTGTAACAATAAATGTATTTTCTGCTAAATTTCTAACCATTTCTTGTTGATGTAAGCTTAAGTCTATGAGATAGCTTCTGGAAGTGTCACAGCTCTCAGAACTTCTGCCTTCCCGTATTAAATCAACTTTTTTTTGTCCTATGGAATTTTCAATATTTATTTTAGATGATAAACTTTGCATTGCTGAGTTGCGAGAATGTGATCTTGCAGTAACTGTGGGTTCTAACTTTATTGTATTCAATGACTTAAATTTTCTGGTTGGCAACTTTTGCATTTTATAAGGACTAACATTTTCTTTTTCACTACCTGATCTGAAGTTAGAATTTTTGTTAGAATTATTTCTAAGAACATCTATTTCATCAAAAGTTTTCTTTTTATTGTTATTCTCAGGCAATTGGTTATCAGCAAATATTTGAAAGTCATTATGCAAGTCACTTTGGGATGGGTTATTCTTTGAAGAGCTAGTACACACAGAAATGTTCTTCCCTTCACTAAGGAAAGTAACTTCCTTTGAAACAGATTTTTTAGTAACTTTTCTACACTTTTTGTCAGTTGCAGGCTTAGTTTCAGCTTTTATTTTATTAACTTTAGAGGTAATATTCTTGTTTCTATTTGCAATTTTCCTATTTTGTGGTGGACATTTTCTTGCAGGACTACTTTTGGTAAAGCAATATTCATCATTTCCTACATAATGTATAGGATCCATATCAATTTCATCACTTATTTGGATGGCAATCTTTTCAAATTTAGTGGTGGGCTGCAATGTTTTTTTAGAGTTAGTTGGTTTTTTAGAGGACTCTTGTTTCTTGTTTCGCATTTCTACTTGAAATCCTGAAGAAACATCATTCTGCTCTAAAATTTAAAAAAAAAATAAATTAAAAAAGACAAAAGGAACAGACCAGAGTTGTAAAGCTGTAACTACAATTCAATATCAAATTATACATACAGGATATTCTGCAATCTTCATATATATTTTTAGAACCCTGACAAAAATGAAGTCAAACATTTGAGGTCACAAGTTATTATTGAAGCAAAGAAAAAACAAAATTATCATTTTGCTTTATCCTTGATTCAAACTTGGTTCCCAGTTTCATTATCAAGATCTAAAAAATTAATAATGAGGACTGTAAGTATCAAAACCTATTTGATTGCTGGTGCAATTAGTAGTACACTTCCAAGTTAAATTACACAATCAAACTAGTTTCCTCCATAAAAATTTTTATCCAATCATTCAAACTACAGATTTGATAGATTTTGAATGAGTTTTTATTTCTTCCTTGCAAAAAAATAAACTAGCTGGTAGCCAACTAATTCAAAGAATACTGAATAAAATTAACATTCATTATTCAAACAAAATTTCTATTCTGATCATTCCTAGCTAAAGCTATTATTTATCTTTTAATTCTACAAGAATTCATTACAAGTTGTGTATTTAAATAAGTTACATTTAGTGAAAAATCAGCAGCACAATCAGTTAAATTAAATAAATTAATAAATAATAATAGAAAATATCTGAAAGAGCTAACAGAGCTTATACATTTTCCTCAACTTGGAAAGTTAATTCAGTTTCTGAACATTGAATTAAAGTTTTATAAAAAACATAGGGAGTTTAGGACCTGTTCAAGGTGCAGCAAATATCACAATAAAGGCAGATATTATTGAAAATTAATCACTAATCTATGTTAAGGAGAAGGAAACAATAGGAAAAAATTTTCTTTGTAGTTATTATAGATGAAAAAAAAATTCAAAAAATGATTATTTTAGTCAGGTGATTACTTTGACAGGTTCGACTATGTTTCTTCTTCTTACTTTTGTTAAGATCAGTCATGTTTGACAGTCTTTGAGGTGACTCAGGTTCTTCAGGTATAGAATCCATCCAAACATTTTGTACTTGTTCTTTAAATTCCTCTCGGGTCACACTAATAAAACAGATTTCAAAATTGATATGCATCTATTTTACTTTATAATTAATAAAGGATGAATGCTAAATAAAATCCATAACCACACTGAAACTGGAAAAGAAAATTTTATGCACATGTATATTTATAGATAATAGGACTCGTAATGATATTTCGTAAGATATCGATTTAACGCTTTTGTCCTCACGCCAATATGGCAACTTTTTTCTCGCCAAGCATTGTTACGCTACCTTAACCAGCCCATAACAGAAGATGAGCACGATAATTTAATGATATAACATGCGAGAGTCCTTGCCTATGATAACGCTGTTAAGATGAATAACAAAAAAGATTTGGATTTCATCTAGCTGCAAAGACACTGTTTCTTAATTCATGTGATGTTGAATGGTAAGGAGTAAATTAAATTAGAAATTTTATGAGTGGATAAGCGACAGAACGCAGAAAGCAAAGCATTGATTCTATTAGCACATTTTCTTCAGGGTTTTCCTTTTCTTGATGCTGCACATTATTTTGCTGGGATTGAATAATATTTTGGTTAAGTTTTTTACTTTTTAGTGGGACTTCTGATATTTTGCAATCACCATGCAATATTTTGTCACTTTTTTTTTTATTTAAAAAAAATATTCAATATTTAATTTAAGTATATTTTGATCGGTTTTCAAACCTTTTTTTTTCCTTCTTTATTTTAGAGAATTGTTTAATTTTTTTTTAAAAATTTTTATTTTATTTTTTAAATTTTTAATCAGCTGGACTAAAATATTTAAATTTTTAGTTAGTAGTCAGTAGACTCTAATAACTTAGTACTCCCACAAACTATTGAGCCGGTGATTAATTTTGATAGGTCTTTTTTATTTAATATTAACTTTTTACTTGTATAATTTTTAAGTTTAAAAAAAAATTCATATTAGTAATACTCTATGGCTATAAAAATTGAGCAATAAAAATGATATAATTAAGTATGCTGACTTCAAAGAGCTTTATTTAAAAATCTTTGGTTCCATCAAATTGATGATTTATGAAGGATCAAAATTTTGAATGGAGACAATGGACACTTTAATGAAATTTTTTTTTTCCAGAGCCATTTTTCTAAAAAAAGTAAAAAATGATTATTTAATTTAAGTTGCCAATTTTATTATTTTATTAATTTGCCGCATAGAGACTGGTTATTTTCAGCTACCTTCCTTTCTACCTTCAGCTGCTTTTATTTTCAACAAAAAAAATTAAACAAGATATACCTTTATTTATTTTAAGAATTCCATAGTTACTTATAATGAGACTAAACTTTTTCTGCTAAACAAGTTAAGTGATTTGATGATTTAAAAGTAGTGTTTTTTAAATAATTTAACACAATTAATTTAATTACTATTAATTTCATGATTTAATATTTTTTTTAAAATTTTTACATGTTAGCCAAATACTTTGTTAGAAATACAATTTATTATTAAACTAATTTTTAAGCAATTTGTTTTTTAATTTAATTACTATTAATTTCATGATTTAATATTTTTTTAAAAATTTTTACATGTTAGTCAAATACTTTGTTAGAAATACAATTTATTATTAAACTAATTTTTAAGCAATTTGTTTTAAAGTGATAAATAAATGAATAAAACAAAATTTACATTTATTTTTACCTTTATTACCTATGGAATTCAACCATTAGTCTAAATATTTTTATTATTTTCAATAGATAAATTGAAAAAAAAAAAAAGGTTCTAGTGCAAAAGAAAAGTCAAAGGTATGCTTTTATACACAAATTCAACACTTTGTTTTACTTAAATGTACAATTACATTTGTTTTTTTACTTTTCCTTTTATTTATACTTAACATTACAATTTAAAGTGTCTACAGATTTGAGGCACCAGTAACAAATTATAAATGAAAAAGTTTCAACTGAGTTTGAAAACAACCAAAATTTATTTTTCATAACTTTGTTGTGTATCTGATTTGAATATCTTGACAATTTAATGAGTTTCTAATAATTTTTTTTAAGAAAGCTTTAAATGATTAATCAAAAGTAGTTTACATTTTTGATCTGCCCAATTTTGCTTAATAATACAAAATGAATTTCTGTTAATTTCATTTGTTATTATAAAATAAAATTTTAGGAAAAATGAATATACCTTATAATGATTGGCTAGATGTGATGAAAGGAGAAAGAAAAAAAAAGTGAAATAAATCCTACTCTATTAGTTGTCAATTATAGGGCAATGTTATTTGTTATAAAATCTTGATTTATAAAACAAAATCAAACTTAAGGAAAATCCCTCATCGTTTAGTTCTTAAAAAGAGTACAAAAACTCTTTTCTAAAGTTACCAGATATAATTAATAGCAAAGTTTGAAAATATATATATACATATACATTTAAATTTTCTGCACATGCTCTGTATCTAAGGACTACTTTATATGCTCATATCTTAGGCAATTTATAAAGAATTTATTTTTCAAGCTATAAAATTATATTTTTGTTATTACAAATTACTCCAAAAAATGTTATGCAATTCTGTTGAATACTTTAGCAGTTATATTAAAATAACAAAGGCATAAGGCAAAAAAATTATATATTTTTTTTTTAAAAATTTCGATACCTCCAAGAATGCTAGAATAAATATACAAAATTTAATAACGTAATGTTAAAGTTAAAGAACGACCAAAGTCACCAACACAAGTTGATGGCTATTTTCTCTGGCACAGAGTGTTCAAAAACTTCTCCTTGCTCATTCAAAATTTAATTCAAAGAGCTCTAAGCTTTTTTGATAAGAATGAATAATCACATGATCAAAACACTTCTAAAGTTATGAAATAATTCTTTTAGTATACCTTGGAAAAAAAATTTCATTAAGTGAAAATGTTACTTCCATTATTGTAGGGTACTAAATATTTAGCAGATATAAACCAAAAGCAAGATCTCTGATAAGACAGTTTGAAAAGCAACACTTTTTAACATTCTAAAATGTCAAGAAAAGTTCATAAAAATTTTGATAGGGAAATTTCTCCATTAAAAAAAATCCTTATATTTACATTTTTATAAATAACTAAAATACTTTAGAAGCTATGAAGCTATTAGACTTCCTTATGCTTTAAAACTTATAAGAAAGATAGTACAATAAAAGAAAAAATAAGCAAAGGTTCTATATATTTCTTCTGAAAATTCATTATTTTCTTTATAAATAACTATTTCTTTCTTAGCATAAAATGCAATAAAATCTCACTTATACAAACTTCTTTTATCCAAATATCATCTAAAGTTGAATGTTTCAAAATTTTTTATTATATAACTTTTGTAAAAGGTCTGTATTTGTGAAAAATCTATTGAAAATTTTGTGAATAAGTGAAAATAAGGCCTTTGTTTTTTAGAAAAAGAAACACAAAAAGAAAAGCATATCTATTAAGAAGCCTTTGTTTTAAAATTATGGATTAGAGTTGCTGCTATTAATTTTTTAAAGATAAACAATGCCATGAAGGGTCCATAAATGGATTTAAAATTTTTTTAACATGGCCCCTATACACAAATCCAAAAGATTCAAATTTGAAGTTTTTATTTTAAGTATTTCTTTTCATTATTTCTAATGTTGTTTAGTTTAACAATACCTTCTCCCACTTCTGTTAACATCATATTGATTGCTGTGCATGTTTGCAATGAATGTCAGTATGTATAATAATAGTAAGTGTGGTAAGTCGAGTGTATAATAAAGGTAAGTGTGGTGTAGATTATTGAGACAAAATATTGTATGCCACAACAATTGGGAATTAAATAAAACTTGATATTCAATTTCTAATGCAAATTTCAGCAGTAGTTTTAATAGTAAAGAAAATATGAACAAATAAATAAAGATGCATGATGAAAAGAAAAAGCTCTACGGAACTTACGTATGCTTAGGTGTGAATTTGGTGGAGCTGACAGATGAATGCATTTCTAACAAACCTAGAGTTTCATCTAAAACTGTAACTACTTGCTTTAAATTATCAGATAAACTTGCTAGCTTTAATCTTGAAAACTGGAAAATAGAGAAAATTCATTTATTTTCAGTTGTCAGTTTATAAAATACATTTATGCCCAAAAGTTAAGCATAATTCATATACATGGAAATATGTAAAAATATATTTAACTTCTGGACACTAGGGCAAACAATAATAAATTATTTTTTACACTGGGGTCCAGAAGTTGAGACATGTTTTATATAAGAGCTAAAGAACCTTATATTTATGATAAACATACATGAAAATCTTAGACTATCATGCACAACTGGTATAACTGCTCTTTTTTATGAGTTTAAGTTATGGATCACCTGGAAAAATATTTACAGTGCAGAAGAAATAAAAACATTAATTTAAAGCAAATAAAAATTTTGGGTTGAAATTTTTTTAGAAATTGCAAACAATATACGTTTTTGATATTGCTAATCTGAATGACCTTCCAAAAATTATTGTCAATACAGAGAGTATCTCAATGTCTTAAGGTTTTAATGTCTTGCACAAATATTGGTACTAGTAGCGGTTCCGTTTCACCGTCCTAATCAGTATATTTTTGCACCTTCTCAGTTTCTGCAATCTTTTTTTCAACAGACATCACACCAGGTGTTTCAGCATTCTTGTTGTGGTGCATTGATATTTGTGGTGCTTTCCTCAAATAATATTAAATTTTCGTTTTTCGTATTAATTTGCATCAGAAATTATTGTTCTTTTAAAAACTTCCGTTTTTTTGAAAATAAATAAATAAATAAATTGAACGATAGATGCAGTAAACTTCAGTTGCAAAAACAAGCATTTGTGATGGGGTATAAGAAAATACAGGCAGAAAAACAAAAAAGTGAGAACATTGGAACCAGGTTCTACTTCTTGTCCTTAGAAGATAAAAAAAATAAGAGAGAAAAAGAATGCTTAGGACATTTTCATTCACTTAATAAAATTTTATTGAGGTTAATAAGATGTAGAGAGTAACTCGGGTAAGATGTACGAATACTCCATAGGAGAATCGTGGAGACATTGTTGCTGAATGTGACTGAGTTCTTGCAGAAAGATTTTTTATTAGAAATGCATCAAAATGTAAATTTGTTTAAAGAAAATATACTGATACTTATTTTTGCAATTTTCTTTCACGCAAAATTGAAACAGAGCATTTGATTATTTACTTTTAATGAGATGATTCCAATTTTTTGAAAAACTTTTCAGCAGTTATTGCTAGTGCTACAGACTTCCATGTGCTTTTTCTGAAGAGTTCGATTCAAGTGATTTTATTGTCTATCTCTTTTTCACTAGAAACTGACATGCATTTTACAATTTTGAATTTGTTTTTTAATGAGATGATTTACAAAATGTAAAAAAGAAATAATTAGTGTGTTTTTTCACCTTAAAAAAGCAAGAATATCGCCTATATCGTTAGAATAAAAAAATATTAAATTTACAAATAAAAAAATTATATACAGTTTTTTTCTATATGTGTACTTCTTTTGTAAACAGAGCACTTTTGTTACTTACTACAAATTAGAAACACATAAATTTATTACTACTATTAAAGATATCGGGTTGTTTGGAAAGTAATTTCGTTTTTCCAACAGAGGATTTAATTTTATTTTTTCGAACCCAACTTCATGCTTAAGGGGGTTCAGTACCTAAAAACCTTCAAAAAATCGAATTTGAGATTTTGATCAATAATTAAACTNTTAATTCACTAAATTAAAAAAAGTTGACTTCAGTATAATCTAGAATATCTATTACATACACAAAAAAAATTTCAAAGCTCTAACTACGATACTTTTTTTAAAAAGGTACATCGAAATATGCCATTTTATAATTGTCAACATAGGAGGTACCGAACCCCCTTAAGCCGCATTACCGTTATGTTTCGAGAGATATTATAGCAAGGATTGTGTGTGAAAAAGTTCAATTAATTCTATGTAGTAGTTTTGGGTTGGTGCCCTTTTAAATATGGAGAGCAATAAGCAGCATTTTTGTCATACTTTACTTTTTTACTATAGAAAAGGTCTATTCCTAGGTTTATGACGATAAATTTCTGTCTAAAAGAATTCGTATACTGGATGGTAAAATAATTAAGCTTAAAAAATTTAATAAATAATTTACCTTAGTAAAATTAAAAAAATAGGAGATAAAATGTCCAGCTTTTCCTTTAAATTCTCTAATTTTTTTAGGTGGCTGGCCACACTGTATATATTTAGCCTACCTTTGATGAGGATAGAAGGTGCCTGAATCACAGGCACTGAGAATGGCCTTAGAGAGAATTTGGTTGCTAGCATTGTTCTTATAAAATAAGGTTTCATATAATACCCATTTTTCATTATGTTGGGTAACTGACAAACCTCAAGGCAGAATCGCGGCGACATTGTCGCAGAATATTACAGAGTTCTTGCAGAAAGAATTTTCTTTTAGGAAGTAAAGAATTTTAGTTTCCTGCAGAAATTTTTTATCTCTAAAATTATAATTAAAACATGTCTTTATCGCACATCGGAGGGGAAAGAAATGTTTATAATTTTTCTGTTCTTAATTGCGAAGAATGAAAAATATAGAACAATGAAGTAAAAAATTTCTTTTCTGCAGAAATACTGAAAGATTTTTTTCTCTCCTGAAATCATTCTTAAACGCGTTCATTATTCTCGTTAATCTATGAGGTATTTCAATCATTCTTTAAGACGGTTATTGCTACAAATTTTTTCTTTGTTTTTTGAAATCCTGGTGTCTTTCATTGCTCAGTTATTATTTCTATTCTCTTCTAATTTTTGAAATATACCGATATTATTACAGCACGCAAAATTAGAAACGCCGAGTCAAGATATCATTCTTTGATACACTCGTTTTGCACCAATATTCTCGCTAATCTGCACAGTATATTTCATTCTCGAAATTTCGCGGGATTTTTTTCCTGGAAGTTACCGATATGAATTACACGATTTTTAATTTTTTTGATGTGATGATGATTTATGAAACGTGAAAAAGGAAATAATTAGTGTGTTTTCTTGTTTAGTAAAATGTGAGAATTTTGCCCATGATATTAGAATAAAAAAAATATTACATATTCATTTAAAATTTAAATACAATTTAATTTTATTTAAATAGTTTTTTTTTGTAAACATAATGTTTTGTTACTTTAAATTTAGTTAGTAACATGCATATTTGTTATTATTAAAAGCATCTTGAAAGAAAGATATTAGTATTAGAGAGGTTTGTTGTTGCAGAAAGACCAAAAAAATTCTGCTACAGGGCTGACAAAAAGAGACGATAATTGGAAAAATACTTATCACTAATAATGTTTTTGTTACTTTAAATTTAGTTAGTAACATGTATATTTGATATTATTAAAAGTATCTTGCAGAAAAATATTAGTGCTGTAGAGGTGTGTAGCAGAAAGACCAAAACAAAAATCTGCCACAGGGCTGACAAAAACAGATAATTGGAAAAATACTGATAATGTTTTTGTTACTTTAAATTTAATTAATACATGTATATTTGTTATTATTAAAAGTATCTTGCAGAAAAATATTAGTGCTAGAGAAGTTTGTAGCAGAAAGACCAAAAAAAAAAGCCACAGGGCTGAGAAAAACAGACGATAATTGGAAAAATACTGATCTCTCACCAAAGGTAGCATCAAATAATAAAACAGATAAGGAAAGATATTCGCCATCTCTCTTTTGATATCGTATGAGAGTTAACTATCAACAAACTGTTGCAAATTTTAAATTGGTATATAATCTGCTGCAATATAGTTATAAAATAAATATGAAAGAGAACTTCAAAGGAAAGACAGGAAGTTAAAAAAAAAAAAAAAAAAAAAAATTNAAAAAAAAAAAAAAAAAAAAAAAAAGAAGCATAATCCCTGATTATAACTAAACATTTAGAAATTAAACTTATTAGAAATTTAACTTGAAAATAATGAAAAGAATATAAAATATGAACTAAATAAGAAACTTGGGGACAAAAATTTCGTGATTGCAAACCTTTTACTCCATACCAAACATAGCAATTATGCAAGAAGTCTTTTTGAGTCTGATAAATTTGCAGTATTTAGCATGATTGGTAGAAGAAGCACTGTCTCAATCACGAATTCCTGTACAAGTGACAATAAAGGAGTTAAGTCTAACATTCAGTTAAAATACTGTGCCTTAGTAAAAACAAAAATAAAATGAAAACAAAAAAATTTTCTCAATTTTTAAAATAAACAGTGTTGGGGAAAAAAAAAAAACTTGCTTCAGACAGTTATAAAAAAACAAAGTACATAAACCTACTGTTGAGTATAAAATAATCTGGTTTCAATTCTTTAAATTTTGCTTTTCCATTCATCTCCCAGAGCATAAATTTGACAGCCATGAGCAAGGACATGAATTTAATACAAACAAATAACAAATTGGTAAAAACTATTTCTAATAATCCCTGTGGCAGAATTTTTTCGAGCTATCTATGACAAAACTGTCTAGCACTAATATTTTTCTGAAAGATACTTTTAATTATAACAAATATATATGATATTAATTTAATTAATAACTAATTAACTATTGATAATTACTAATTAACCATTAATAATTACTAATTTAATTTAATAAATAATTAACAAAAGCCCTTTGTTTATAGAAAAAACTATCAGACTTTTTTAATTGAACATGTAATTTTCTATTCTAATATTATGTGGATGATATTCTCGCATTTTGTTGGGGGAGGGGGATGCCCAAATTGTTTTCTCCTTCGCATTTTGAAAATAATTATCACAATAAAATAATAAATTATGAAATCTGTTGTCGGAAAAAAAGATTGACGATGAAAGCAGGCAAATTGGATTTCTCAAATGACAAATTTAAAAACTAATGAATTTAATATTTGCTTACCATTATTATGTTAGCATTGGCTTTGTTCTCTTCCAATAATTCTTCTTTTTTAGATCTATCATTTTGCAAAGATAGAGCTAAGAACTTGTTGTTTTTCAACAATGTTCTGATTTTATTCTTGTAAACACCTGCAAATAATAAAAAAAAAAATTCTTTTAAGAGCATTTTATTGCTTCACAAAATTAGTATAAACCAGCATCTAAAAAGTAAAAAGCATATAAATTTTAATAAAGTAAGTATTTTGATCATCAATAAAGATTTTTTATTTACCTAAGTTACTTCAAATTAATAAAGTACAGCTAAATAAATTATTTAATTGTAAGAGGAATATCTTGAAAATTACATGTTTTTAATCTGTTTCATAGAAATGTATTAATTTAATATTTAGAACTTTTTTTTAAATATTCTATTAAATTATCATACATTTTGCAGTAAACATATAAAAAAAATTAATTTGAAAAACAAAAACTACAAGCAATAAAAATAGATATATTATTTTACTTACAACCAGATAATTTTGTTGGCAAACAGCATTTTTCAGATTTTTAGAATCCAAGATTATTTTTTCTAAAAAAATTTAATAATTTTACTTTTTAAAACTGCCATCTCATTTCATTCATCCTGTTATTTTGTATGTGGGTATATAAAACTACATACCCAATTGAAAAACAAAAATGACATCATTAAGAAAAAAAATCTTTTTTTCCCCCTCTAAATAAACAGAAGAGTAAATAAACATTAAATCAGTTAATTTTCTTAAATTAACCAAAGTGTGAGTTGTCATACTTTTTGTTACTTTCTCTCCTCTTTTATAATTCCTTTGCTTTCACCACACATGAGATTTGAGGTGGGCCTGTAGCCATTATTGTTCAAATACTAATTGTATTGAAGAAATCCTTTCTTTTATATTTAAACAGAATAATGCAAAAATAATACAGTAGAACAAGTTAATAATGAGTGCAAAGGGACAGTGTGACATTTAGCCATTTAAGGCTATCGTGATATGGAACTGCAGAGTGTAAACAATGTGAAATCTAATTTTCAAGGGCGATAATATATTGCATTTTAGTTGTTTTCTTATAAATTATCTATTGTATGCCAGTAATTACTGTTGCGTCATTTTCTATGTTTTCACATATGCGACAGAAAGAGATTGTTGCCACTCTAGTTTTAATTGGTTTCTACTAGTGATAAACCCTGTTTAAACTCTTATTTTTGGAAAAAAGTTTGAAGTTTTTCAGCGCACCAAAGCCATTGAATACAATTGGGGAGGTTCAGCTTAAAATTCTACTGTTATTGTCATTGCCTTTAATTTTTTTTTTATGTGTTTTAACTAGAATTTTAGATAAAATTTAAAAAAATAAATAAAATAAACATTTTCAAGGGAATAATTGAGGGGGGGGGATTTATGGATCACAAAATATTACTCGCTGCAACGGGGCTTTGCACAAATAGTCCTGATATTATACCAACCAAGTGTTTCCTATTTCCTAGATAAAGTTAGGTTCACATTAAACCAGGGCTAGTTAAATATGAGTTTGTCTATAGTTTAATTGTCCATTCGGTGACAGAGAAAAAAATATAATATAGTCAGGGGTCTGTCCAGGCCGAATTTTTTTCACATCGTTCTATTCAACATTTTCTCAAATCATTCAAATACAATGTATTTTGGCATACCGTTGTTCCGTAACGTATGAAAGCACCAATTATTTTACATGTTTGATGAAATACTTGTGGATCTGCATGTGCATGAACTGAGCTAGATTCAGTGGATTCTTGCACTATCATGTGCAACTCTGCTGCANCTAAATTTTCACAAAATAGGTACCTCTCAGAAAAACCTAGACAGACCCCTGATAGTGTAATTAGCAATGAAAGTATAACTTCATAATCAACTCAAAAAGCAAAGCAACAACTCAAAAAGCAAAGCAACAACTCAAAAATAATGTTGAGACAAAAAGCAACAAATGTTGCAAGGAAAGCAAAATTAAGAAAAAATAAGTGTTAGAAAAAACAGGGTTATTATGAAAAGAAAAATTTTTCAATACCTGTCAGAAATGTAGTATTAAATGATCCATTGCTACTATAATTCAATTTCCTCTGATAGTGCAACGGAATTTTCTTCATTAATAAAGACTGGTTTCTTTGAAAATTCATTGAAATTCCTAATAACGAATATAATTTATAAGCAAATATTGCTAATTTCACAATGCAAAAGAAAATCTTCAAAATGAAAGTTTTTCACATGTTTTTTATTTAAACTTACAACAATAATGAAGGGATAATAACAAATGCAATTAAATTAATAATGATCATAACTCAAACATAAAGCTCCTAACATCAGATATGTAAGTTGAAATAGAAATCTATAGCAACGTAAAGTTCAGGATATGTCCAGCATACTACAATCAACAAATAGATTTTATAACTGAAAATTTAGTTTTTTAAGAAAAGATGTAGAGGTTAACCCGGGACTGGCTACGAGATGTAATTTTCAAACAAGCAACTCAATTGCAAGAAACAAAAAGCTAAAAAGAAAATTTCTAACACATTAATAAAAGAAAACCAGAAAAAATTGTATATAATGTCTCAAAACACAACACTTTATTATCATAACCAATGCTCTTTAAATCAGGGCCGATTTTTTAGTCGCCGCAATTGTCTATCAATAAGTTTGAATGTTTGTTTACTCTTTCTGCGGATGCCGAATCGATTAAAAGTGTTTATTACATAACAAGTCTTCACAATGATATTGTACAGTTGGGGACAAAAATGCAAACTAAACTTTAATTTAAACATAGTGCACACAAATCCATAACAAGTAATGTTAATAAACATAGAAATTTCTTATACCTTTCTTCGCCATTCAAACTAAAAGAACAGACATGCAAAACGGAATTTAAGAAAAATATCAAATAAACGTCAAAATACCAGATATCAGAAAATGTTCAAAATTATCCGCGTCCGCTAAAAATGTTTCTAACTGTTGCCATTATTATTTTTTGAACACTCACCAGCAGACAGCCGAGACTAATAATTAAATAGATAAATCTTATTGGCTGATTTTATCATCGTTTACGTTGTTATCGCTTAATCGTTGTCCAAGTTTACAAAATTTGGCTACAGCAGCCATTTTTTTTAAAATATTTTATTATAAAATATGCGATGACTGGTGATGATTAGCAGAAACCCAAATAAATAAATACGGTTTTTAAGCGGAAATGTGTTTATGCAATCTTTAGTAATAGTATTTAGCAATCATTCAATAAAATATAGAGAATTATTTTGTTAAGGATAAAAATTCAGGATTAAGGTTTTTAGTTGATTCAGGAGCTAATGTTAGTCTAATACCTGCAACTCAACGAAATAAAACAGTAGAAGATTTTAAACTTTACGCAGCAAATGGAAAGGAAATTCCTACTTTCGAAATTAAAAATTTTGAATTTAAATTTAGGACTTAGAAGAGAATTTAAATTTCCTTTTATCTTAGCTAAAGTTGATAAACCTATGGATGGTGTTTTCAATAGAAATGTAAACAATAACAATCTCGAGCTCGGCACCTACTCTAGATCCGGTTAAGAAGTTCGCAGCTGCTTACTACATGTTATTCTGATAGGCGATGTTTTCAAATGGATAATTTTGTTTTAAATAAAAGAAATAAATTAGATAATTTCTGAGCTCAAATCTGCCATATTTCATAAGATATTAATGTTAATATGTAATTCTGGTGAGTTTGAAGTGAAAATTTGTTTTAGTTTTTTAGAGATATATTGTTAAAAAAGGTGACATGGTTGCTAGATTTTGAATAACTCGCTTTTTTGGCAGTCTTGATATGGCCTCTTTCCATAAGTTTATTACTGTTTGTTCTTGTTGCAAGCTGTGCACCATCTTACGTTAGTGTTAACACTTTTAGCATTGTAAACACCAGTATTGTTAGCATTGTAAACACAAGTGATAAGTAATCAAATACATTGTTTGCAAGAATCTCAAAACACAATGATGCCAAATGGCTTTAAAATACAACGGAAACAGTAACCTGGAAATTTAGGCGGTACCGAGCTTGCAGCGTTCCCTTGTGTAGAAAACACCATCCATAATAGGAGCTGACTTTTTGAATAAATTTAAACGTTTAATAGTCACCATAAACAAATTATTGATGGGATAACTAATTTCGCTGTTCGACACCACTTAACGACAGTATCCGTGGATGAGGTTATCAGTACTTTGGATAAAAATTCTAAATATGCTGATTTGTTACAACAATACCCAATGCAGTTTCAGAAACTCCCTGCATTTCCCGTTATAACCACCATATAGTTTTAATAATGATTTACATAAACTAAAAAATATGCAAAAATACATAAAAATAATAAATAAAAAAAGATGAGAATTACTGCATGATCGAATTATTGACTTGTTATTAAATGAGAAATCCATTCGTAATTACTAAAAAAAGTTCGAAATTATAATTTGAAGATAGTCATCAACAATCTAAATATTTTTTGCTCACACACACACCCGCAAATAATTTTTTGGGTTACTCTTATATGCGTGGTATAAAATAATACTAAAAAACAAGCATTACCGAAAACAAATTCTCGACTATGATTTTTCATTGAACAAAAATGATGGATTTATAAATTTTTCGATTGACCTCGACTGTAATTAATTTTTTTTCTTCAAATTTAAATACTTCAGGTAATACCAAATTAAAAATTCCGTTGTAAATCTAGTTACTATTGTTGTTGTTTCTAATGCCACCTTGCAAGCCTACTCGTTAAAACCAAGCAAATTTAAGGCAATGGGTGCGTTTCTTGTTCTTCAGTGGCGCCATATATGGCCAAGAATTCGTCTTCAGCCACACACATGTCACAGCCCGTTTATAAGGCGGACCCATTCATACATCCACAGATCGTAATTTTGACCTAATTCAGAGAACGATCGATCTCCAATCCAGAATCGCCAGGGGTATTGATTTGTTATGGGAACATGGAGGAATTTGCGACTCGACAGATTTAACGTGCATCAGTCACTATTTACAACACCAGCGGTGTTCGAACCTTCGAACTCTCGGACGTGGGTCCAGCTCCTTACTGACCAGGCTATCCTGGCCTTAAATCTAGTTACTTGAACTATTTAAGTTACAAGGGTGGGGTTAAATAATGGAAATCTTCTGTAAGTCCTTTTTTTCCGTTTAACATAAGAAGTATTAAAAGAATTATTCTAAAACTTTAAAAATGTTCAAATCATGCAATTTCTCATACATATCAATAAGGTTTAAAGCTTTAAGAGGTTTTTGGGACCTTAAATAAATTACAAACGAAAAAGAATGTTTTTGAACATCCTATGCCAAAAAATTCAGCGAGTCAAATCGCGTCAATTACGTTTATTATTATATGAAATAAATGCACAAAATTTCATAAACCTAGCTAAAATATTGACGGAAATATGGAGACTTTTATAAAAAAAAACTAATTTTTTGACTTACATTTCCTTCTTATAGCTGCAAAAATATTCAATAAAATTAGACAAAACTTTTAGGGATGCCGNCAATTACGTTTATTATTATATGAAATAAATGCACAAAATTTCATAAACCTAGCTAAAATATTGACGGAAATATGGAGACTTTTATAAAAAAAAACTAATTTTTTGACTTACGTTTTCTTCTTATAACTGCAAAAATATTCAATAAAATTAAACAAAACTTTTAGAATATTTTTAATTAATAATAAGAATATAATTTTAAAATTAGATAAAAAATTGCTTAATATATATGTATATAAAGTAATATTTTTGTACTACGAATACACGGAAAACATTTAAAAGAATTTTTTCATAATTTCGCTTTGAGTCGTATTTGGTCGTATCCTATGAAAAAATTCCGATTTGAATATCTTGTTTCCTTCATAATTTATTTCCGGTCCGTCAAACCTCTAAAAGCTTTAAACTTTATTGATATAATGTATAAGAAATCGCATGACTTAAGCACTTTTAAAGTTTCAAATAAATTCTCTTAGTAATTATAGAGAAATATGAAAAAAATGAGTTAGTATAAAAGTGTATCCATTACTTTGAACCCCTATAAGCGTCTGAGCGTTATTTGATGGAATTTTATTTATCAATTCACTTATTCGTAATCGTTATTATTCATGAAAATTCACTGAATAAACGATGCACGGCCTATAATTATTATATATTTTTTTGACGTAAAGATAACTGCGGATAAAAATTCGCTTTAAAATAGTTAATAAAAGCATACACAGGTATCTTTTTCATTCTTCTTATTTCTTTCACAAGAAATGTAAAGCGCTCCTGTGGGAAGAGTTGTTATCGACAATGTCAACCTTCATCTATGAAAATGTCAACCTTCATCTATGAAAAGGTACCCACCCCTTCATAGAATCGAGTTAACAAGTCTTATATACTAGAGAATTGGAATTATATTTTTGTATTGGTAGATACACTACAATACTCTCCCACCAGAATTATATCTGTTATAGAATTCGATGAATGGATACCATTAGTTGATTCATTGCTGTTTGTGAGAAGCCGAGAGAGCTGTATTAAGATCTCCGTACTTTTGAGTGCTGACCGTGAGAGCTATATTAAGTTCCCGGTCACTCCTGTGTTGCCTTAAGCAGTCGAGTGAATATGTTCTGCGTGATCGAGACTGAGTAGCAACAGGACGAGGAGGTGGATAATGTCGCAGTCACAAGTAGCAAGTCAACTATATAATGTGAACCATCCATTGAAGTAGGTATGTTCATATCGAAGTGGGGGTTTCTGTTAGGGTAGGCATGTTAACATCACGTCCAGGTCACCAATGTGGGGAGAGTTGATATCGACAACGTCAACCTTCATCTATGAAAAGTTGTCGCTAAACAGAATCGAGTTAGCATGTCTTATAAACTAGGGAATTGGAATTACATTTTTGTAGTAGTAGATACACTACAGCTCCCTTTATTTATTTATTTTTGTCAGGAAAGGGTGCTTAGAAATTATTTAATTTCTAAAATATATTGATATAAAACCAAACTTTTCTCTTTCTTAATCCGAACAAACATTCGCAAATGAATAAAAATATAAATAGAAGTATCTCAATTGCTTTTGATATAGGGATCCATAACAAAATGAAATTTATGAGCCATTAAAAAAGTTCTTTTAAAGTATTTTAACAAACTTTTAATGAATCTCCTCATTTTTAAAAAAAACATTTACATAAAGTTTCATGTTTTGTTTTCTTTTCTTTCAACTATAAAAAATATTTATACCTTCAATATCAAATTGAAAACATCACTTCTAGAAAACACAGTGTTAATATCGATTATTTTTGCCGCTATAATTGATATTGGAGTTTATGTGACCTAAATGCTAATGATTGTTTCACATCATACGATTCAACATTGACTGACCTAAAGAAAGTTTATAATTTCTATTTTATGTGTGTAGGATAAAATATATTACAGAGAAAAGGGTTTAAAACTTGTTTTTTGATTTTCAATTTGATTATAAGTTTCGAGGTTAAAATTACGATGTGAAAAGTGTGACAACAGACAACTAAGTGAAAGGAATTAGAAGCAAAATTTTTTCCCCCTTGCAACAATAAATGAAGCTGCAGATCGAACTTTACATTTTAAGAACAAATGTTTTAAAAACTTAAAAAAGAGAAAAAAACTGCAGTGTTAAAGAATTGCAGAATTGAGCAAATTTTACAATGACAAATAATTAGTCAACCATTTCAAAATTTAGCCTGAATGAACAGTGAAATTACAGAACAAATTACGGAAATAAGCTAAACATACAATATACAAAAAAAAAAAAAAATGTACAATTAATTAAAAATTTTGAAATTGTTGAAAATGCGGAATTTTATCGAACTGCTGCCAAAGAATGTAGTCAGCCCACCAACCATGAGTACTTATCTTTATTACCCGGACATCCCCTTAAAATGAAACCTGGAACTCTAAACTCGCAACTATCGAACGAGCTAGGAATAGAAAAATGACGTCACGTTTCTACTTCTAGGGAAAACCTGAAACCTCGCGCTTTCGAACAGATTTTGTTAACCTAACATA